AAAACAGATTTGATTCATATTGTTTCTTCCAAAGAGTTGGCCATGTCCCAAATACGTGGCACTTTCAATTTCTGTGTGGATTGGCACTTCAAAGGTCCGGATACCTTGTTTCCAAAATGGTCCCAAAAGAAAATAAAGTGCAGGAACCCTTGCTTGACGTTGGAAGGGGAGCAAAAAATTAAATTGTAGCAGTTAAGTGGGGGATTTTCCCCTAAACCACAATAAGCAAAAATGTAGAATGTTTCCCAACGACAACCATGAACCAGGAGAGCGAGCAAAACCTTGACCGAGCTCAATCAAACTTCGCAGGTGATGTCTGAGCAACGGATATTCACCGTCACCTTCCATGGACAAATCATGACATGAGGGAATGGCCTGGAAATGTACTCACTAACTTGATAGGGTCAAAGACCAAACCTGGTGCTTGGGTCTACTTACCCAAAACCATGTACAACTCCGTGGACACAAAGAGCATCCGAAAGGACATCGAGCTGACTCCTTAGACATGTGCAGCTGCGCAATGCTGAGTATTGAGTCATTTCCGCAGTGGATGGGCCCAACTAGAATCCGAACTTTCTCTTTACCACTAAAATGGCCCAAATCCAAACAGTGTCAGGTCCATGACACTTTTGCGAGTTGAGTCACCGATAAACCCTCGGACACTTTCTTTCTGGCACGCCGAATTTCCCACGGATGCCAGTTTGGGGCTCGGCGGCTCCGTGCCACCAAACTGTGCAGATGAGAAGCAATCCGTTTCACCCGGAGCCTCCTTCCGACCGTTTAAAAAGGGGAGCATGACTTCTTTTTTTGGTGGACCGACCAACTTTGATTCGGGTCAGAAGGCGGCTCCAGGTGATCAAACTACCCATAAAGTAATTGACTCGTAATTGACCCCAAATCCCCATGATCAATGCGATTGATTCAGGGGCTGACTCGCATGCAAATGTAAACGAAACTGTGGGGGTACCTTTCTCGGTTTGGTTTGCAAGGAACTTCCATTTGCTTTTCCATTCCCTGGGAGAAATGAAACGATAAAACCAACAAAGGGAACATCATAAACATATTCATTTCAACAAATGGAAGGTTATAGGCTTTCCTTGAAGGGGAGCCGATTCGAATGGGGTCCGAGTGGAGAAAAGCAATGAGCACCAAGAATCCTGACACGTGGGTGTGTCTCTGGACACACTGCACTTCATCCCAGAATAAGGAAAGGAGTCTCCAAGTACCCCCAACTCCAAATACCCGCTTTTTCAGGGTATGGTAGGGTTTGATGGCAAACCCTGACTAACAGAGGAGGTGTTTAGCTTGGAAGGCCTGGTTCTGTAACAACTACCCTAGACACAGCCGGTATTTGGAGTAGGTAAGCAACCTGCATGGCTCGGCTCGCTTTTTCAGCTGGCGGTAGTTCGTGCAAACAGATCCCAAATCAGACCTGCGCTTGCCTACAGGAACTTCTTGATCTTAGGCACCCTAAGTACCCTACCCAGCCTGTAGGAATCTGCCCGCTGTGACTTGCGGCTCCGCATCTTTCGGTTGCGACACCTGAAATGAGAATTGGAAGTCAAGGTCCACGGAGATGGGACAGGACATAGGGCTACCTTCCATTTCCATTCTGAACCCGATCCGAATCTTTCTAGAAAACCTCCTTTGAAACCCAGGGAAAACGGCAGGTTGCTGGAAAGAACGATGGTTGAAAAGAATGGGGAATCAACCCCTAGAGACATAAAAATATTATGTGTTTGTTGCTTCTTTGTATATATTTCGTCAGAACAAATATGTCTGGAGTACATGTTGGGCTCGTCCAAAGCATCCGCAGGATCAGCGCGCTCATTCTCCGTCTTGACTTTGCCAAGGCATCCAAAGGGCCGGCTGATGGGCTGGAATTCCGTGGTGAAATAAAGAAACACCGCTTAGAGATCACATCAACGCGAAAATCACGTGGAAATTGGGGAACAAACTCACTATGAATTCACCAACAAAGTGTGGGTGTCTTTTGGTTGAGGGTACCCGTTGAGTTTGAAAGGGACATCAAAAGGACAACCCACCATTTTTGGGTTTTCCCTTATTTTGAGACAAACGAACGTCTAACAACTTAGGCGTTCCACTAACACATTCTTAGATGCCCAGTGGCCATGGGAAAAAAAGGACACCCTTTTTTTGTTGGTTGAGTTTAAAGGAATCGGAATCCTTACCCTTAAAAAAAGGAGCAACCCACTGGGCAACAGAGCAATTCCCAAGTATGATGTCCAGAAACTCGGAAAGTGACCTTTGTGGACGTGATTTAGGTGGGATTTGTGCCCCCCCCACTCTTCAAGGCGCTCCAACTCCTAAAATTCATCACCACGTCTGTGTGTTGGTTGCGGTTTTCCCGTATTTCGGTTGGCTTTCCAGAGAAACCCCCAGCAAAGCCACCATTTCGGGGTGCTCAGTTTGAGAACCGAAGCCATGGAAACCCGGCAGCCGGACTGGTACAGAGCGAGAGAGCTTAAAGGCGTCCACCCCGAGTACGCAGGCTCTCAACGGTCAGGGAACTGAGTCACCCTAGGCTCTCTAACTGGGGGGTCACTAAGTCACTAAGCTGCCGAAGCATCGAAGCAATATCTGGGGTGGAATAATTACAGACATTCTCCTGAAGAACTGAAGGCCCTCCTGAAGAGCTGAAGCAATATGGCTGTGGGTCAAAAATAGGGTACCCCCAAAATGGAACCTTGGTAAATGGAAACATGGACTGAAACCTGATGTCCCCTAGTGGTCTATTTTCGGCCCACAGTCATATAAGGGCAACCTGTAAAGGCGTCTGCTTTGATGGTCCAGAACAAAGCGCTAAGTGCTTCGCCCCGAGTACAACCATGGTGGGTTCCCCTACTCCAAATGCCCACCTTTTTTCTGGGGTATTTTGTGAAAAACCAATCGGGTTTCCATGGTAAACACCTTCTGTTTTTGTATGATGGGTCGACCTCATACCCTAAAAAAGGCGGGGGGGAATTATTTATAGCTAACTACCACCCTAAGGCTCCTGACCCCTGCAATGCAGGGCGCCCCTCCCTCCAATCCAATGAAGAACCCGGACCCCTCAGCTCAGGGGCCCTTGAAAACAACCAGATTTGAGGGTTGAAAAACAATCAAGACCCTTAGGGCATGCATATAAACAAGTTTCGTAGAAGACAGAACTGAGGTGTTTGGCAGGTTATCTTGTTGCGGAACGAAAGGTGACAACATGAATAGCCGGGCTGGCTTCTTTTGAGGGCCCAAAAAGCATCGGGAGCCTTAGGGCAGACCATCCAACTACCCTTTGCGTTGCTCCGAGCCCCTTCGAGCAAACCCGTCGGTCACCGGTTGAACATTAGGTTTGTTCCATCGACATGTCGCCCAATTCGGACACAAAACAAAGACCAGCACTGCTTGGGGCTCGGGTCGTTTTGAAGGCAAAGCAAAGGAACAACCAGCACTGGTGGGCGTCTAGGTGAAATGAATGCTCAAACTTGGAAACTAGGTGGTTATCCCATGCGCAGGGCTTCAGCAACTTGCGAACATCTACTAGGTCCTCCAGTGGAGAGGTTAGAATAAGGGTGCCGTCTCAAGCCCAAGAGAGCCCCGGATTGGGACGCAGGCACGCCGGCGTCGGTTGACTCACTCACTCGATCGAGGCGCAAGGCTGCAAGGCTGGAGGGGTTGACACGAGGAACAGCTTTTTCCTCAATGCCTGAGTAGATTGGCCAAAACAAGCCGAACTAAACCTAGGTCCTTCAGTAGTACTGAGTAGAGAGTAGAATAAGGGTACCAACTTTTTGCTGTAGTCTATTTCAGTAGGGGAACCCCAAAACAAATGGTAAAAGGGCACTACTGGGGGACCTAGATTGGCCAAAACAAGCCGAATAAAAAGGTTTCTTTGCCAAACTGGCCGTCGCAAAAAGTAGCAAGTCCAGAAACTCTGGGAGTGACTTGCAAACATAGGCCAAAGTGTGTTTGGATAGCTTCACAAGCTCACCCCTGAGACAAAAACTCATAGGGTCACCCGTGATTGGTAGATGACCAACGGCGGGCACATTTTGGACATATCCATCAGCCACAAAAAAAGCGACTCTTTCGAAGGAAGTTCCCAGAGTTTTGGATTGATTTGGAGATGTTACTGGCGTTTGGTTCTCAAATCGTCGGTTCCTTTCAACCAAACCAAACAAATACCGTCATGAACACACATAAACACATCCCTTTCGGAAGCCGTCGGGCTCATGTGCCAAAATGCCTGACCAGGGGTAGCAAGTTGTGTGTGGGGGAACCCTTCTTCGTCAGGGGTTTGGAGGGAGAGCAACATGAAGAAAACACTTTCCAGCGCCCAACTGCTCTTTGGCTGTCGTACCCAGCGGACTTGGGACATGCTTGAAAAAAAAGAAAGAAAGTTGGACCCGGGTGCTGGGGGGTTCCCCCATACAAGTCCAGTCGTTTCCAGAAAAGGACCAATCCCGATTTATGGTTCGGCCATTCAGGCGAGCGGAGCAAACCTGTCGAGTCATCCAAAATGAGGTTTTTGTTTCCCCCGGCTTTTGGTCGGACGCTTCCCTTACCCCTTAAAACTCCCTGCGCCCTGGGGAAGTTTTCATCTTTTACAGACACTTTTCGCCCATGTTACCCAAAAAGTTACGAAACGTTTCGCGTTTTTAAGAGGCAAGAGTTGTTTTCCCCCCGGCTTTTGGTCGGACTTTTTTCCTGGGCGTCCGAGCCCCAACACCGAAAAAAAAAAGTCTCTTCAGTTTCTGCGCGTCAGACAAATTTGGTCCGGCCCTGCTAAAAGTGGCTGACTTTCAGTGGTTTAATACGGACAACCCATGGGTTACGGCGAAAAAAGTTCTCAAGTCCGAACATCCCTTGGCAAAAAATGCAAAGATATATTGGTGAAGACCCCTGGAAAAAACGAAAAAAGCGGGAGTGAAATCGATTCCCTTTAAATCCAACAGGGGAAAATAAATCATAATCATTTCAGCAAATGGAAGTATATAAAACCCATTTGGGATCGAAGACCCGCCAGCTCAAGTCTTTCTCCGCCCCGCGCGGGATTAAATTAGCCACGCCGGGGGCTGGAGGTGAAGGACATGGCGCGGTCCAACCCGGCCTGCGGCTTGTGCGAAATCGCTAGGGAATGAGAAATGGAATGCTTTCTGCTCCCTGCTAAAACAGGGATCCGGATGCATTATACACCTGAACATTGCAACTTGTAAATGGTGGTTTCCCTTTGTTTTGGTGGAAAAAGCAACAAGTTTCAGATGGGCAAAATGTATCTTTTAAGGAGCCCTGTAAAAGCTTAACTTTAGTGGTTTAATGGAAAACCCATTAGTTGGCAACAACTTAAAGTCCTAACATCCAAGATAAGTGCACCTCTGAGAAATGGAATGAACCCAGGCCCAACATTTGCCGGGGGAAAAAAAAAAACAGAAAATCCACTGGATGGTGTATACTTGGTTTCTGTTGACTCCTCTGCAAAAAGTGAACAACTTGTTGTGGGTTTAGTGGAAACCCCCTTGATTTTCCAAAAAGTTAAAGTCTAAAGAGCCAACCCAATAGCAATCAAGTATAGAGGCACGAATAAACAAGCATAGTCGACATAAATTCCTGAGGACTGATAAATCTGCGCCAAGGTCGAAGATACCTTCATAGCCCTTGAACTGGATAGCAAACCTGCACCTAAAGTGAATCCAACAAACTAGGTTGACGTTGGAAGGGGAGCAACAATTTAAATTTTAGCAGTTAAGTCGGGACTTCCCACTAAACCACAATCAGCAAAATTGCAAAATGTTTCCCACCAACAACCATGCAAAAGGAAACTGCCTTCCATTTCTCATTCCCTGCCTATCGCACCGAGAAGAGTTAGTGGCAACAAAAACCTACCAGGAACAGCAGTTTACCCATTGTTTAGCGGAAGGAACCCAAACGAGGGCTCCATGTCGAGCCAATTTGGGAGCTTACTTTCATAGACCCCCAACCACGAACGCGCGCGACCCCCATGGCCCCTCCCGGTCCGTGATATCTGTGTCTCTTTTTGAGTCGGTACCCCAATTTATGTGGAAAGGGGAATTCAAGAGGAACGCCTGTTTGCCATCTTGAAACTTTCCTCAGAAAAAAAAAAAACGAGCCACCAAACTGGAGTCTCCTTCTGACTGAACCTTTAACAAAGGGGTCACGGCCCGAGTCACGGCCCCATATTCGTGGCAGATGACCTTGATTTGAAGCATCATGAAGGCCCTAGGTGATTGCCGTCAATAGTTGGAATGGGGTTGTGGGATTGTTTCCATGCTATTTATATATGTGTATGTATATATATATATACATACATACACAATATGATTAGGTGGGGTTGTGGGGTTGTTGGGGGTGTTTGGTTGTTTCCATAATGGGAGGGGGAGTGTATAGTGCTTGTTTGTAGAACCACTGACATGGTTCAGGCTCAAACGGAACAAGTGACCTTGGATGAATTTGGTTGTTGTCCAATGATAGAGCCGTCATATGTTTTGTTGTCACTCCAGATCATAGATTCGAGTTCCACATCGGCCGTAAACAAATCAGTTGACTCTCAAATGCTGAGAGGCTGAGGCGAGGTATGGCTTTGAAGTTTTTCGCGATTCATTCCAGACCATCTGGTGTGTCTTTCTTTCGGAGACCCCGCCCCCCAATTGGTGATGTTTCTTGTGGTCTCCCTTCAAATCCGAAGAAAAAGGGTACCCTCAAACAAGACAGACCCGTGTGGGCTGTCCTCAGATCCCCTGCTACAAGTGACTGACTTTTTGTGGGTAAAATGGAACCACGGAACCACTAAACCAACTAGAACTACCTAGACTCTCCTTCTGACCCTTAAAAAAGGGTTGGTCATTGCCCAACAATTTTCGGGGTCAAATGGGCCAATCTTTTTTCTAGGGGTCAGAAAGGAGACTCTAGAACTAAACAAAACACTAGAAAACAAAAAGATGGCTGGGAACCGCCACGCCCATCTAGTTTGCGTTCCTGAGATGGGCCGAAAAAGTACCCGAACTTTGGTCGACCCAGAGGCTCCTGGCTTTGGCTTTCAATGGAAGACCCGACCCCTCCATTAGACACCCCGGGAATCGGACTAATGTTGACCCCGGATTAATGTTGACCCCTGTTGATTCATATGGGGGTGAGGGCCCCTCCAAAAGTGATAAATCCCCACTAAAACCGGGGACACCGGGACCCATATTAATAAACAGGGGTTTATTAATCCGGGGTCAACATTACCATGGCCCAAACCCAAACAGCTTAGAGTCCCTGAGAGGAGTGAGTGGAAGAAGCTTCCGCTGGCTTCAGGGAAGCTAAGTGGAAGCTTCCAGGCTTCAACGAAAGCGCGGTCTTCCCAAGTAGAAAGTCCGTGAACTCAGGAAGTGAGAAAACTATTCACACCCAAATCACAAAAAATAGGATATGCAAACAACTCCAGTAGAACAGAAACCTGGGAATGTGTTCATCCCAAGGCGAAGATCCAGCGCGGTTTTTTAAAACCCATCGTTTAAGTCATGGGATTTCCAAGAATTCTTGGTTTTGTTTATCGGGGTCATGCCAATTCCCAACCGTCCCCTTAAAGGAAACCACCAGGGGACGGCTTTTGTCTCGAGGTCGTTCACGCCAACTAGACCACGGTTGGCCCGAAAGCAGAACATCGCAAGCGAGGTCGGCCCAACGCTGCAGGATGCGTTCTTTTTCCCTACACTTCGTGAAGCAAGCGCGAGACAGCACCAGGCAAGGTGCTCTGCGCAAACTGGTCGGTGCAAGTTGGTCTGCGCAAGTTGCTCTACGCAAGTTGCACTGTGCAAGTTGCTCTGCGCAAGTTGCTCCGCGCAAGTTGCTCCGGCAAGTTGGTCCCTGCAAGTGGCTCCCTGCAAGTTGCTCTGTGCAAATTGCGCTCCCTGCAAGTTGCTCTGTGCAAGCTGCTCTGTGCAAGTTGCTCTGTGCAAGTTGCTCTGCGTAAGTTGCTCTGCGCAAGTTGCTCTAGGCAAGGCGCTCTGCGCAAACTGGTCGGTGCAAGTTGGTCTGCGCAAGTTGCTCTGTGCAACTTGCTCTGCGCAAGTTGCTCTGCGCAAGTTGCTGTAAAATGCAAGTTGCATCTTGCGACGCCCGCCCGCGGACCAGGGAGGAATCGAACCCGCGACCCGCCGGTTCCGGGAGCAGGCGCGCGAACCACGAGACAACTCCCGAGGACCAGTTCGAACAACAAAAGTCGCAAAAAACCTCGAGTTTTTGCACCTCGACCACGCCGATCCCGCAGAGGGTTGCGCGAGCACCGCAGAAATCGCAAAAAAAACCATGGGTTTTTGCACCTCGACCACGCCGATCCCCGCAGAGGGTCGCGCGAGCAGCAGAAATCGCAAAAAACCATGGGTTTTTGCACCTCGACCACGCCGATCCCCGCAGAGGGTCGCGCGAGCACCGCAGAAATCGCAAAAAAAACCATGGGTTTTTGCACCTCGACCACGCCGATCCCCGCAGAGGGTCGCGCGAGCAGGTTAGAAATCGCAAAAAACCATGGGTTTTTGCACCTCGACCACGCCGATCCCCGCAGAGGGTCGCGCGAGCAGGTTAGAAATCGCAAAAAACCATGGGTTTTTGCACCTCGACCACGCCGATCCCCGCAGAGGGTCGATTTTCGTGTAGTGTCGTCGGCACTACCCCGCCGCCCTAAGAAGAGATTTTAACTCCTCGCAAGTCAATTGCACTTGACTCCTTGCACTTGCAACTTGCACTTGACTCCTTGCTTGTTTCAAGGAGTCATTGCAAGGAGTCATTGCAAGGAGTCATTGCAAGGAGTCATTGCAAGGAGTCATGGCAAGGAGTCATTGCAAGGAGTCATTGCAAGGAGTCATTGCAAGGAGTCATTGCAAGGAGTCATTGCAAGGAGTCATTGCAAGGAGTCATGAGAGCCATTGCAAGTTGCAAGGAGCCAAGTGCATGGAGTCAAGTGCAAGTCGCAAGTGCACGGAGTTAAGTGCAAGTTGCAAGTGCAAGGAGCCAAGTGCAAGGAGCCAAGTGCAAGGAGCCAAGTGCAAGGAGCCAAGTGCATGGAGTCAAGTGCAAGTTGCAAGTGCATGGAGTCAAGTTGCAAGTGCAAGGAGTCAAGTGCAAGTTGCAAGTGCAAGGAGTCAAGTGCAAGTTGCAATCCTTGCCATGACTCCTTGCAATGACTCCTTGCAATGACTCCTTGCAATGACTCCTTGCAATGACTCCTTGCAATGACTCCTTGCAATGACTCCTTGCAATGACTCCTTGCATTGACTTTCATGATGATGATTCCTTGCAATGACACCTTGTAATGACTCTCATGAGAACAATTCAAGTGAACCCAGCGGAAGAACCCTTCGCCATGCTTTCGGGAATTCAATTCCCTGGTTGACGTTGGGTTTGGGGAGCAAACAATTAAAAGCTTTAGCAGCTCAGTGGTTGGATTTCAACCACTAAACCACAACAAGCAACAAAATGTAAAACATGTTTACCTAGAGTCCCCTTTCTGACCCCTAGAAAAAAGGGGCCCATTTGACCGAATCTTAATTTTGGGCAATGACCAACCCTTTTTTAAGGCTCAGAAGGAGAGTCTAGGTACCAACCATGATTCCCTGCCTATCGCACAAAGAAGAGTTGGTGGCCACAAAAACCGGCCAGGATCAGGCCATCAGCAGTCTACCCCTTGTTTCGCGGAAGGAGCCCAAAGGAGGGCTCCATGTCGAGCCAACCATGACTCCTCGCGCGCTCTCCGCGGCAGGATTCATTCCGCCTCCCCGCCTCGGAGGTGTCCAGGTCGCTCTCGTCCAAGGCCTCCGGGGCCTTGATGCTCACGTCACCCCGGCGGAAGCTGAAGGCGTGGCCTCGGAAAGGAGAAAGACGGCGTGTGCCTTTGGTTGGGGCGCTGGAGATCTCGCAGCAAAAAGTTTTTCGTTTTTTTTTTTAATATATTAACTTTCTGCTGGTTGAAAGGACATCTCCGGGGAATCCCAAAAGTCAAAGTCTAAAGATCCGACCCAATAGCAGTAGAGTTTGTGTTGAAAGGTGGGATCTACCTAAAAGTCAGCACGGGCAGCAGCTTGTTTTTCTTGAGCCATTGTCATGTCAGTATGCCATTACCTATCAACACCCCCCGCTTTGCAGAGGTGCGTTGGTGAGAACAGTACTTTGTACACGTTTCTCCCCCCATGCCTGAAGCAAAGTCCTCTGAGGTCAAGGCAGTGAAGACGTAGAGCCTCAGTGGGATAGGTGGCAAGCCATGGTGATATGAGGCCTCATGCGTCAATGGTCGCTGCAACTGCGATGCATTTGGACTTTTGCAGGAGCGTGCCATCCGAATCGGCCGACCACGACTTCCGTCGGGCAAAACACATGTGATTTCCATGTGACTGCTTGAAACTGAATTCACACTGTTGCCATCAGCGAAGGTGATCTCACGACCACAGCTTCCGCTGGGCAATACTGAAATGACATCCGGTGGTGGCGGCCGTGGATTGACCTACGGCCGCAGCTTCCGCCGGGCGTGCAAACTTGGCACTGCTAATGTTGCGGCATCAATGGATGAAAGATAATAGTTTTGAACATGACATCACCAATGAAATTGAAATGGTTACCGCAACATAAGCAAACTTTTGTAATTGATGCGGGTGCTCACCATCCCCACGGGCCCTGACGCCATTGATGCCATCCAGAGGACCACCCGTACCAAGAGCTCCAGTCCTGACGCCCCGTGCTCTTGCCTTTGCCCTTGCCCTTTCCTTTGGTGTAGGGCTCGGGGCGAATGGACCGGGTGATCGCCCTCCACTGGGTGTTCCTCGCCTCAACAGGATAGGTCCGCGTCCGGCCGGAGGAAAACCGCGGGATTTCGAGTTCACCGGTGCTGATGGTGCCCTGGGAGTCGAACTTGATCCAGGAGGCCCGAATGAAACTGACCATGACCTCCACAATCTTTTCGACGTTCCCTTCCGGGACGTATGAACCGCTGTGCCCGATGATAATCGGCACCTGGTTGCCCGGAATGAAGCGATAGGCACACATGACCGCAAACTGCATAATGCTGTAAAACCTCGCGTGGTGTGCAATGAAAGCCTCCGTGGAAACGTTCAACTCATGGGGATCGCGTTTGTTGAGGCTGGGGATGAACACCAACTTCGTTCCGGTGTTCTGTGATCCGCCTCGCTCGCGTTCCTCCCTGGTACGGCCTGGGTCAGCGACAACCGCTCGGGCAATCCGGCCAAGGAAGTCAAGGCTCTCTGGGGTTAGCCCTTGCGTGGCGCAGTTGTATGCGTAGAATGGATCGACCGAGAGCCGGTCAGATACCTTCTCGCACCCCATCCCCAACGCCTTGGTTAGGTGCGTTTTGGCCGTCTTCCTGAGTGACGCTTCGACGGAGATTCCTCCCCGCTTCTCGCCTTCCTTGAAGTGATGCTTGGAACGGATCCACTTCCCTCCGCCGCCTTGCAAATCCTCCAGGTAGAAAACCATGCCCTGGAGGGATGCTGTGTGCTCGAGGCGCACCACCTCAGTGGCGATGCGTGCGTCCGTCCAAGACACCATGTCTGACCGGCACTCCTGACACAACAGGTAGCCGTCGATCTGTTGGTTGTTGCACCTCCTGTTCCAGCATTTCACGACCGGTACCTTCATCATGGTCGTGAAGAGGAGGTCCTCCCAACGTGGCTCACTCTGGTAGCGGTTCCGGAGGTTGTTCCAGCCGCGACCATGCCCTTTCTCTCCCCTGGAGAGCTCGGGCACCCGTCGAAGGGTTGCAGGCGCAACCTGATATGTCGGGCCTGCAGGTCTCTCATTCGACTTCCCCTTCCGGGGAGCGAGCTCATCGACCGTCTCAATCTCGGTCACGGCACCCGGAAGCAATTTGCCGTTCCTCGTCCCCTCAACGACGGTCTTCCAATGCCTCCAGGCCTTCTCTGCAGTCAGGGTGTTTTCACTTCTGAAGAAGTTTGGATTGACGTCCTGGGGCCCAGGCGCAAGCTCGGTTGTCAGCGCCTCGCGATACCTTTTGCGAAGCTCAGGGTACGCACGATTGAAGTAGAGGAACTCATTCTTGCGGGTATGGAAAGCGTAAATAATATAGGCATTCCCAACCCAATCTGCAGACATAAACGCCTCATCGCTCGTGAAGAGTCGAATGCCGTCCTGCATCATGAGCTCAGTATCAAAAGCAATCGTGACGGGCCTTCCGGCTCGCGTTCCTGCCAGCTTCCTCATCTGCGCCTCCCAGGGTGGCGTGGGGTTGAAGTAGACGTGGGCTCTGCCAGTCGACTTCGGATAGCCCCCCGGGACCAGGCCGAACTTGAGGATACTCTCGGCCGACCTGAGGTCACAGGTGTGGTAAAGGACTGCCGGAAAGCCTCGGCGCCACAGGTCAGTAAGTTCCGGATGCCGCACAGCCCTCGGGTAGTGACCGTCAAGGTATTTCGCCGCGGTGAACTCCTCGTCGAAGGAATACAAACTTGTCAGGATCGCCTGCTCAGTGTACTTCCTTGTGAGCTCGTTGTGGTGTCCTTGCACGGCCCTCACTCGCAAAGCCTGATACGGCAATCCTTTCCAGGATGCTTCCCCCATTGGAGGGGGCCCAACCATCACGCGGAATCTGCGGGTGTTATTGTTCCGGATGCAGATCATCACCTCCCAAGGCATGACATTGGCAATCCGGTCATTCAGATGCCTAACCAGCGCATCGAATTCCACCGACAGGTCAACTCCGCGAAACGGCGGGTGGGGCTTGCCGTCCTTGAATGCCCCTCCCCGGAGGAAATAGGACATTTTCTTCGAAATTGCGACCAGTCGGTAGTCGCGGTCCATGTTGACCTTCGGGACGTGCCCCATGTCCTCGACCTCAAGCCACTCGCTCTGCTCCTCGGCCGGGACGTTGGTATTGATCTTCCGGGTCTTTGCCCAGTCTTCCCAGAAGATCTTCTCTTGCTTAGGGTCCTTCTGCTTTTTCGACCGGGGTTCCCCCTCGGCGTTGCCTGGCGGCGCCTTGGCCTTTGCAATCCTCGGCATCGCCTTCACCTGGGGCTTGTCGGTCGAGCCTGCAGCCGTGGGGTCCGACTCGTCTCCAATCTCAATGAAACCAGTCGACTGGGGTTCCCCCACAGCGTTCTTGGCAGCAGATCCGCGCCTTGACGGCGGCGGTGTTGGCGGTTGCTTGGATGTGCTGGTGCCCTCCGTCACGGACTCAAAAGTGACCGACTCCGCGGTGATCATGGAACTCATCCCTGCCGCCTCGGAATCATCAGCTTCTGACACCATCTCCAATGATACCACCGTTTCCTGATCGAACAAGTCACCTTCAGCGATGATAATCGACTGGCCTTCCGGCGCAGCACGGTGCACTCCTGGGGGCAGATTCGTCGCATCCCATCCAAAGTCATGGGTGTCATCGCCCAGCAAGAGCCACTTGTCTTTGTCCTCGTCGTCGGGGACCTTGGACAAGCCGTGTTTCTCCGCCGTACTGTCGATGTAGTGGGACATCGCGAGTTCCACTCGGTCAAGCTCGTCGTCGGAGTTTTCCTCACCTTTGTCGACGGCTTCAAGCACGATGTCGGATTCCTCGACCTTTGCCCCCCGCATGTCGATGGTTATGGCGTTATAGGACTCATCCTCCGCCACCTTCATCCATGCGGCCACATCGGCGTCGATTTCGTCGCCCTCCTGGTCGTGGGACCAGTCGGGCTTCTCTTCCATCGCCGCGTACTCGTGGAGCGCTTTGGCCAGCTTCAAGCATGTTGGCCAGCCAAAGAGCACCGGGTCGACCGGTTCACCTGCCACGTAGGGCTCAACCCTCCCAATGGCTGGGAGGGCGTATCTGATACGCTGGGCCAACAGCTGCGTGTTGATAGCCGCGTGAAGGAATTTCGACACAACCTTCCGGTTGGCATTGCTGTATGTCATGTGCACATCATCGTACCTGTGAGCTAGCAATGTCATAACCGATGGGTCGATCGAGTCGATCGCCTTGATGCGGGTCCCATCGTCGATGTCCCCGTTGGCCAGGTGTCGAAGGCAGCCGTTCATAGCCTCGTTGTAATCGGACGTGAGGGCATAGTCCTCGGCGTCCGGGTTGCTGACGAAGGTAATGTCTCGAATGCGTCCGAGCCCAACCGCCTCCTTGAAGAAGTCGAGCTGCTCGTACACGCGAGTCTTCTGAATCGTCGGCCACTCTGACGCGGCCTTCCGGCCCGCCTCCGTTCGGTTAAACCTTTTCTCATGGATCCATCTGCACCCCACGAAACCATAGTTGCCGAAGACATCGTTTCCTCCCCACAACACGTAAACCGAAATGGGAAGCTGTTTGATGCCCTTCTGGGAGTTGTCCTCGGCGATGAATCGCACTTTGGCCTCCATGGTGCTGTAGATAGCCTCAAGCCCCTTACCCCAATCCATGCCGTGGTAAATGTTGCGGACCCCCTTCAGCTGTTCGGCCTGAAGCAGCTCCGCCACATGGTGCTTGGTCGGGTATTTGTTGTTCGGCTCTTCGACCATGGCACAGGAAGAGTCTCCAATGACCAAAATGTCGACCACCTCTTCCGAGGGGCATGGCACGGCGCGAAACTCCGCAGGGGCGTTGCGCCCTAGGACCTGGATCAAGTCCCAATATGCCATCTCTGAGTTGCTCCCGGCTAGGGTTCCCCCCAGCATCACTCCCGGTGCCTGTTCCTGCGATGCGATAGTCCGCGTCACCGTGTCCGGCTCCGGGATGGTCGCAATCGCTGCCTGCGTTTGGAATTGCTTCATCAGCTTGTCCCATTCCACCAAATTGTAGATGGTACCCTGAATGTCGAGCTCCTTCTCCAACACGTCGTTGAGCAGGATATCAACGGAGGGTGCGAGGGACGAC